ACCAATTAGTTTGAATGACTATCTGTTCCTGTCCAAATTAAAGATAATAAAGTTGCGTGCACGCAGAACTAAATTCACACTGAGACACAAAGTTCAGGTTAATGAAAGAACTCCGGAGAAGTTTAATGGCTTCTGACAGAAAATGGGTGCGCAGACCCTTATAAAGGCATTATTACATCATTGAAGAAAATCAAGATATAGACAAATAGACATTGTCAATTGGCTTAGGTGCTAAGATGTTAGTAAAATGCCCTCCCCATTCTTAGGTCACTATCTACGTAATGCTTTCCTCCCCCAGGTTTTAGCGCCATTTTGCTAACATGAGGAGCTCACTCGACGGGAGGGGCCTTTTGGCAGCTATCCATTTAGAGCGTAACTGGCACTTGTTAGTTTCTCAAGGCTAGGTTTCAAGGCTTTTAGTAAATACACATTTTATCAATACTATTTCTTGCTGACATGCAAATTCTATGTTCTATAGACAAGGCTTTCTTGTAAAACTATGGGGGCCTCTTAGAGGTATAGCAAGAGGATTTAAAGGGGCCTTACAGATTTATAGAGGCCTAATAATTCTACAACAGTCCCCCCTAAAATGTTATTTGCTAAAAGACAAAACTTTATTTGTTAGTATCAGAAGATGTGTTAGCCCAAAGACACAGAAACCCCATGACCGCTGACTTAGTGTTAATGCAAAGTGCAAGTCTATCCCTCTCTTGACCCTAGCAGGCTGCAGCACATCCGTCAGTACGGTTCAGGAACACTCTTCACTCCGCTGGTAACCCATAGTGGCTTATCCACTACTTCTCCGTACGGCAGTCTACCCATAAAGGCGGACGCTGTCCCTGTACTGTCCCTTCCTAGACTTTCTGCACTTCATCAGTATAAGGGAGAGTTTGTAGCGGAATACAGGGTGAGATGAGGTCTTGATCATCGATTGTCAGATGAGTGAAGGTTGGTGTTGCTTGGTCTACAGTTTTCTGCAGGAATTTCCTTAGGCATGGGAGGACACAACAAATGAGAAGAGCGAGAATAAAAAGAAAAATTAGTAAGGCAATACCAATCTGAACTAAAGCTCTCTGCCAACCAGTCATCCAACCAAACCATTTTTCCCAGGGATCAGTAACTCCAGAGTTTCTCTTTAGCTCTTCTGAGAGTCTATTTAATTTAGCTATGGCCAGAGTGACTTTACCATTAGGACCTGTGTTTTCTGGAATGTAAGTGCAACAAGTCATAGTGTCGGGAAGTATTTTACAGACTCCCCTTTTTCGGCTAAGATCATGTCTAAGGCCAGTCTGTTCTGGAAGGTCATTTGGGATGTGGCCTGTAATTGCTCGGCCAAGCCCTGGAGGGCATCCCTGGTATAGTTCACGAAGCGCTGTTGGTTGTAATAGATATAATTAATCCAATTAAGGTTTTTGTTGGCAGTGACTATGGTAAAAAGTGATTCAAAACCTGCAGCTACTTCATCTCTAGCTTTAAATTCATTAGGTCCCCCCCTAGGCACCCCAATGGCATCTATGTAAATGTGGGGGTCAAAACTGCCTTTTACTGGGGTTTCGCGCCTCACTCTGGCTGGTGTATGTGGAGGGTCGTATGTGTCATGATGATTATCAGAAATAATATGAATGGGCATGATAACTTTGGCTAGGGTACACTCACCCCACCACTCAGTTTCCAGCCTAGATCTTAACTGTAGATCCCCACATAACCAGTAAATATCCCCCAATGACCTGGTATGGTGTTGCAACAAGCGTATAGGAACAGTTCTGTAAGTGGCGCAATAACCTTTAGAAAAATTACCCATGAGTTTACCAATCCCGTCATACATGGCATAACAAGTGTAATTACCTCTATAGACTGTGATTCCATCTGGTGGCTTAACATTTTCAACTAAGAGAGGGTATTCTGCCGTCCATGCCATGCAGAGGGACCTATTAAAGTCATATTGGTAGGCAAAAGGCTTAAGAAGCAATCTTCTATCTCTAAAGGGAGAGTTAGGGGGACGGTGCCAAGGTGGGGTCGGGCACCGCCACATACATAACATGCTGTTTTATTATGTTTGTTGGCATTATACCTCATCCATTCTAACCACAAATTAATGTCATTGAATCCAGTTTCAGCGGCCATGGTATCTTCAAAAGTGGGGTTAGCGATGGCCATCATATCTTTAAAGGACTGGATATGTGGTTTTAGCGGATTTGGGACCATATGATCAGCCCCTTGCCA